TTTTTAAATTTTTTAATTATTATTTTGTGTGTGTGTACTATCAAATTGGATCTGACTGGTACAGGAGGAGATTGCTCCTCCTTCTCTAGCAGAGCATCTGGTGGATTTGAACCGTGTACCTCTGGGACTGCAGTGCAACTTCTTACCACTAGGCCACCAGAGCTCCCTAAATTGGGGTATTCTTAAAGAAAGTCAAGACAAGTCATGCCAACCTGTTTTTTGTAACACTTGTTTCCCTTCAACACTGGATCCCAGGATTCCAATTGTGTCCACTGCTACACCAATCATGGTAGGGTCTTGACTTTCTGTCATTTCAAAGACCTTTTCCATAAAGACAGGATAACGCTCACAGATCTGCTGAGGGCTATCCAGGACCGCCAGATTTCCAAAAAACTTCACAAAGCCTATAAATGATTAAAAAAAAATGTTAACAGAGAGGCAATACAGCACAAAAATGTGGGTCTTACCGTTCTATAGAAAGAATACAAAACTAGAGGTCAGAAAGGAGAGAAAGATAGGTTAAAGTGTTGCTGGGAAACCATAGGAAATATCCAAATACCAATGATGTGTAGTTCTGAGAGAGCAGAAACTACAAAATGTCAATAATACATATACTGAAATAGGTCCATATATTGAAATACTGTTATGTTCAAAGAAAACATAGATATGTTATGTTCAAAGAACAAAGATAACAGAAATTTTAGGAAGGGAAGTTTAAAGTCATTCTTTGGAAGAACTTTTTAAAGAACTGTTTAACACTGACATAAAATAGCCTACCTAAGGAAGGAATAAATCTCCAATTACTGGAAGTGTTCAAGAAAAGCTAGTCAGTCATCCCTCAGAACAGAATAACAGAAGAGATGCTACACTGGACTAAGATTTCAATCCAAGAAATTTGATGAGCCTGTAAAATATACTGCAAATTTTATTTATTTTTTTATCTTAGTTTTTTTTTTTAAAAAAAAAACTACTGTAATGCTGCAAACATCAATAATATTTCTAAAAAGTAACAATCATTAGTGAGTGAACGGCCACCAGGACAACTTTCTATTTCATCAAAGGGCTATGGATAGCTTCTAAAACACACCAGCTCTAAGGGAAACAATTCTTGGCCTCTCCTATCAGAGATAACCCAGAAAAAGCGAGGCTCATTTCCACAGGTATCAATACTTCTTACCTGGCAAATAGAAGCTAGAGAAAGGGTCTGAATCTGCCCCAACAATTATATTAGAAATCTGGTCAATTACTCCTTCTTGAGCCAGGTATTGTCGTCCATGGTAAGTATGTGCCAGGGATGTCACCATTTCTACACAGGTGGCTCTGCAAGTCAGGAGAAAACCATATAGATCTTGCATATGAATAGGGCTCAGAAATGATTTTAATATAAATTGTCATGTTTAACACCTTCTTCCCCACCAACATACACACTATGATAAACCCCTAGGTACTCATAACTTTGATCGGACAGTATTAAGATTTTGCTTCACTTTTTATCTTGTTTTTTTTCTTGATAAATTCAAGAAATTGTATACTCCTATATAATAAATCTCTAAAAAAGGACCTTTTCATTATAATTATGATACCACCACTATGTATAAAAAATTAACACTAATTCTTTGGTATCATGTAATATACAACCACAATCAAATGTCCTCAAATTGCTAAAAAGAAAAAACAAAACCCAAAATATCCAAACCAAACAAAAAAAACCCAATGTACCTTTTTTCTGCTGACTTTTAAGGTATCTTAACTATAGCCAGAATATTTTTTATGTCATAAAAACAATGCTAAAAAAGTAATGAATAAATAATTAATTGCTTCATTATTGCTGTATGCCATCAAGTTGATTCTGACTCGCTGCAACTCTGCAGGACAGAATGGAACTGTCTCATAACTAACCTAGATTGTAGTAGGACTTATTTGTGAATGTGAATTTAACAACCGCAGTCAAATGTGAGTTTAACAATTGCAGTCAAAAGTAAAGAATACAGAACAATTAATAAAAATCATATAAGGAAAAAATTCCAACTTTATAATGATGATAACTACACTGTTACTTATAACAGTCAAATACTTGAAGCAAATTAAATGTTCAAGAAAGAAGATGTACTAGTAAATTCTGGAATATCAACAAGAAGCATTTGGGAGATACTAAAGAGACTTAGGGAGTGAGGGATGGAAAGTGATAAAACTACAATTAATTTTTTAATTATACTGGTCTCTATGATTAATCCATCGGACAGACACAGCATCTTCTTTACAAAGTATTATCAGTCCAGTAGGAGATAAGTAAAAGGTGAGGTGCAGAAAGGTGATAATAATTGGTCTAGGACAAAAAACTTAGAGATACATTCAAGCCTAAGTTTTTTTCAAAGCCCATGTTCTTCTACCCATCATGTCACAATGTGATTACTTAATAAGGCAAAAAGACATGTATTATCAAATGTTAATAAAAAACAAAAGAGCAGTGCATACATGATTTTAACGTTTTAAGAACACACAAACCAACAGTCAGGACATAGTCAATTTAATGTAGATGAACTGTCACACAGGACATTTCTAAAGTTCCAGGATGTCACGATGTAACTTGAGCATTATTTTAAAGTCCTCAGTTCAAGACATGCATGAGTTGTATTATTGCAACTTGGGTATAGACTCTAAAGACCACATGAAGTTCTAAGGTTCATGGCCCTCCAAATAAGGATATTTTGCCTGTGAGTCCTTCAGTGAACACACCTGACGAGTACATCCTCACCAGTCAGCTCTTGGAGGAGCTGGGTTACCAATCCACTGGTCGTACAATAGTTTAGAGATTCTGGTGACACAGAAGAAATCCCCACAATTAGCTGAAAGAACATGAAAAGCAGATAGGTAAAAACAGCCTCATCCTTACAGGGCTCAGTTTTTAAAACAACATGCTATATTAGGTAATAACTGAACTTAAAGTCATTCTTGATCACTACTAAGAACACTTTCTTAAACATCTAAGAAATGAATTTGTGACAGAAACATCCCATTATTATATCCTGATTTATTTGTAGTTTAAAAAAAAAAAAAGAAAGAAAAAAGAAGAATAATTAATCAGGGTATAAAAAACAGTGACAAGAGACAAATCATTTTAAAAAAAAATCATTCACTTAGTCTTCAGTTACTCACTCTTTCAACAAATATGCCCTAAGGGCCAACTAAAGTAAATGTGGAGACACAGAGGAGTGAAAAAAACCAAATTTTGTGTTTTCAAAGAACCATCTTGAGAATAGGCGAAAACAGACTGGAAGTGATAAAATGGATGAGGTGATATAATTTGGAGGCAGAGGGAGGGAGGGGGTGGGCATGGAGAAAAGTACAACAACATATGATTAGAAATCCTAAGACTGTAAATTTTCATTAAAATTTATTTTAAAAAACCCAACAAACCAATTTGGAGGCAGAGGCTGCTGTTCAAAACAATGATAACTTAGAACTGGGTGATGATCATACAAATGAAAAAATATGCAGCATTTTGGCAACAATAACTCAAAGTGTTATGGCTGAAATAATATGGGCAAGGCAAAAAAGGTCTCAGAAAAAAAAATTTAGCTGAGAGTTTCTAACTGAGTACTGAGAAATGCAGCTAGCTCTTGATCTTCACTGAAGGTAGAAAGTGGGGGAGGGATCTAAGAGATGTTATGAAGGTCTTAGTTGAGGAGAGAGGTCTGGGTTAGAGATTTACTTTTGAGAGTCATCATTGTACAGATGGAACCAAAACCGTATCATGAATAAAATTATCTGTGGAACAAATATGCATTTTATTACATATGTGAAAACAGTACTTGGTGACAAAAAAAAAAGAGTTCAGTGAGAAAGTACTTGCTGGGGGGTTAAAAAAAAAGTATGGTGAAAAACAGAATTTGGGAGTTTGACAGTAATTAAATATTCTACAGATGGTGATGAGTCAGGAGACTGAGAGAGGCAGAAGGAAAACCAGTATAGAAAATATCAGGTAGTAAGATGGGCAAAAAAGAGGAAGTGTTATAAGGAGGGATTAAATTATAGAGAGATCCATTCTGAATATGCAACATGTAAGGTATCAGGCTGTTAAATGAAAGATCAGAAGTCTAAATTCACTAACTGCTCAATGGGATAAAGAGAGGCAGTCTCCTTCCTTAAATATTTCTAGCCTCATAAACCTGATGGAGGGTCACCATGAGTCATATCACCCTTAATGGCTGTGGGTTTGATTCAGTTAATTATGCCATTCACACAGTGAGGTTGGACACACTTTTTAAAAATTTTTTAAAAAATTTATTTTATTATTTTTGTGTGTGTGTACTGTTAAATCAGATCTGACTGGTACAGGAGGAGACTGCCCTTCTCCAGCAGAGCATCTGGTGGATTCGAATTGTGTACCTCTGGGATTGCATTGCAGGTTCTTGCCACTAGGCCACCAGAGCTCCCTTGGCCAGACTTTTAACACAGTTTACTGTTATAGGACATGGCCCAATGCAGATGGTGTATTTAACAGACGCATGTCAAACGAGCCGATGGTGTACTTAACAGACACATGCCAAAAAAGCTGTTTGCCTTCTCAGTTTTTGACCTTACTAAATTTTGAATTATAAGGGATCTGAGAGTGTGGTGAAATCTTACCTCATATACTCTGTAGCGTACAACATCATTAGTTTTCATTACGTTTTTCAAATCATCCAGCAGGTTACTTTCAAATAAAGCCTCGAGTCCAGCTTGGGTTAATGATATTCTTGACAGGGATCTGATTGCCTTACAAGTAAAGAAAAAGATTTTAGTGTTAGCTATTTTTATAATAATTGGGAAGATACACAATAATCCCAACAGAAAACAGTTTATGCAAGTTTTGCTTCTTATCAAGTGAGCCAATGTAAGCCCTGTGATAGATAATGTGAATATGTGTATATGAGAAAATAGCAGGTTTACTAGAATTTACTTGACAGTATCTCATTTGTACCAACTACATGAATTTATAAATTACACAAATAAACCGTTCTAGCCTTCTCTTCTTCCATCACCTATCAGTCTGTCACACTGTCAAGGCCTATATGTTGCTTTGATGTTGGAAGCTGTGACACTATTATTTCAAATACCAGTAGGGTCACTTATGGTCCACAGGTTCTGGACTAAGACTAGAAAGAAGGACCTGGAGATTTATTAATGGGGGGAAAATACCAAAACTCCCCCATTGAAAATATTATAAACAGTAGCAGAACACTGTCTGATATGGTTAATCCATAAGTTTAGAAGGTATGCAAAATATGATTAGGGAAGAGCTGCCTTTTCAAAGTAGAGTCTACCTCACTGCTAAGACTAAAGCTTTCAGGACCGTCATTGGTTGATAAAGCACAATTCAAAATGAGAAGAAGCAGCTGCTTCAATAACTTTAATGTGTAATGTTCCCTGAGGCAAGGATGGCAAAGCTGCTTCCCACATTTTTGGGGGCATGTTTCTAGGAGAGGTATTCCCTGCAAACAGACATCAGTCATGGAAGGGTGAGGGTCAGTGAAAGAGGGTAAAATCCTCAATGAAGATGGACTGACTTGACTGCTGCAAGACAGTGACTGCTGCAATGGGTGCAAGTGTGTCAGAGGTGAAGAGGATGGCATAGGATAGGATACGGTTCACATCTGTTTTTCATAGGGTCACTAGGAGTCGTACTTGACAGCATCAAACAAAAAGAACAAAAGGCTTGTTCTCAGTTGCTTCGGACATGGAGAAGGAAAGCATGCATGGTTAAGTAGAGGGTCAGTGAAAAAGAAGATCCTCAACAAGATGTACTGACATTGTGGAACCCACCATATAGCAATAATTGTGGGGACAGTGCAGGACCAGACAGTGTTTTGTATCTGTTATGAACTGGAACTCACTCAACAGTCCCTAACAACAGAGCCCAACCTCTACATGAGGCCTCTGTCTCCTAAGGCAAAAGGTTTCTGCATATTTAAGCTGATGGTTCTAGTGAACTCACCACTTTAGCTACAGACAGATTTTCTCCACCAATACAGTAAACAATCTGTTTAAGTAATTCAGGATTATTTACAATCTCAGTAACAGCTTCAGAATTTTCAATGATTCTTCTAACCTGAAACAAAACCAAAAAGTCAGAGAAGGTCACCATAAAACTTTCCTTAATGTGCAAATAGTCTATTGCATTGTTGATTGCTGCTGAAGACAAGTCATCAAAATTCTGAATGACCCAGATTCATTAAAACCAAATCATACATACAGAAATATCTTTAAAGGGGGGGAAAAAAGAACAAAAAAGAAAACCATAAATGCAGTTGAGACAGATCAGTAATTAAATTGAGATTTCCTAGTCTCCTTCCATAAAGATCTATATAGCTTTGGAAACTCATTGGGGGGTTGCTATGAATTAGATTTGATTCAGCAGGTTTGGTTTGGGCTTTCAATTAGGTAAAGTATTTACTTCCTTGCCTGGCACAAAAATGTTCACTGACTGAAATGGATACCATCCCCTTGTCTGTTGAACAGTTAGAGGAGAAAAGTAAAAGCAGTGATTATCAAATGGGCTCTTCAGTTAAATAGTAAAATATTTTGGTTACCAAGATAAAAGTCATCATATTAATTTGCTGGCTTCTCTTTAAGAAAGTACTCATTTCATGCCATTGTAACAAGACTTAATATGGCAGAGTAAATATTAGCACATACAGAAATCTTTTCCTCTCAACTAAAAGCAACTTAGAAATAAGAGTTGATAACTCCAGCACCATATAGTACAATGCCTAGCATGCAAGAAGAAGTCAGTATTTGGTGATTAAGTAGCTCAGATTGTAGCTTAAGAAGTTTTCCACTTTAGCTCATATACCCCTGGTTATAGTTAAATGTCTCCTTCACTAGGCTGAGGTCTCTTGGGGACTGAAAGTCCTTGGTGTCTGGTACCTAGATCAGCACCTGGGAGAGCAGGTGACCACTAAGTGTATGTTATATGTGCTATTAAAATTACACACCTGAGACAAAGTAAGGATCTTTACAGAGTCATCTGGATGTCCTAGTCCTCTCTGCAGGTCAACCTGGAGATTCCGAGCCATGTGAACTGGTTCCATAGCTTGGAGCAATCTCTCCAGGATAGATACACACAAAGTAGTCTGCTCCCTGAAAAAGACAACAAGACAACAGAGATGAAATTAGTTCCTGTTCTAACAGTACAATAGGCTCCCAGATAATCTTCTCTGTGTTGCCTTTCCTTTGAAATACCTGCTTATACTCAGGCCTCAAGAAGTTCAGTCTAATGGAAATAAAAGGAGATGAAAAGCACTAAAATCTGGGTGAATTTATGGACTGAAGCTGGAAGCTTTGAGCGTTCAAAAAAAGGAACAAACAGTATAGGGAAGGACATAATAAAGAAAAAGTGAAGTTATCAAGTTGGAGAACAATGTTCTAGGTGAAGGAGTAAAGGTATATTTAAAGGCACAGAGGAAATATGACTGTATTATGCACGAAAGGTACTACAAGTAATTGCCATGACTGAGCTAATAACTGGGGAGGTTGTGATTGAAGGAATATATGAAACACAATGCATATAAATTTTGTATGCAAACCAATATAAAATAAAAAGAATTGAGAAGGGGTGGAGAAAAAAATAAGGTAAAAGGGTTGGGATGGATGACAAGAACTCCAACTGGGAAGATGGGCAAGAAATCCGATTGGGACAGGTCATTACTGTGGTCCTATGAACTGGGTTTTTGTTTGGTTTTGTTTTGTTTTTTATAGAGCAATGGAAATCCATGCTGTTTAAGGTAAAGACAAAATATGATGAAATATGACTTTCCAAAAAGCACCTAGCGCAAATATTAGAGAAAAAATTTTTCAGTGTGAAGGCAGCGGATTATGAGCCAAGGAAATAGCAGTGGAGATGGAGAGGGCAGGAAAGATTCAAGAGTTATTAAGGATACAAATCAGAAGTGGATGAGGAATTTTAGAGTGTTTAAAAAACCACTCCTTTGTCTTTTAATCAGCAGTATAACATCCATATCATGGGCGACCACTCAGCAATAAAAAGGAATGTGACATGGATGTATCTAAAACTTATTATGCTGAGTAAAAGACAGACAAAAAAAAATATTATATATATATGTCAAAACTTATCAAATTGCACATTTTAAATATGTGCATGTTACTGTATGAGATTTTATCTCAAAGAAAAAGCTGTTAAGAGGCAAAGTAATGGTAGGGCAAGCTGGACAGAGGACACAGCTTTCAGGTCACATGTGGCCTTTTGGTAACAGTAAGACTAAGAGCTGATAGCTTATAGTCAGTCTTCCCCAACTTATAATAACAAGTAATAAAGCTGCTATCTTGGGACACACTTTCCTTCAAGAGAAATGACTGTCAGGATTTTGGACTTACAAGTAGGTCACATTCTGAACCCAGAATAGTCACAGTAATAACAGTATTAATGATGATGGCAATAGCAGTAATGACTAACGATGTTATTAAATATCAGCTATCATACTAAGACCTGACACATACTATTTCCTTTAATGTCCACCTATCTTACATCAAATAAATGAAGTTTCAGTAAAGATTGAGTATCTTTTTATCAGCTTAGGAAGCACATAACTTTTGTTTCATTCTTCCAGATAAATTTCCCCAACATGCCTTGAAAAGTTATATATCTGGATGCTACCAAGATACTATCCAGAGAAAAATTATTCCCCCAAATTAACATCATCATCTGTTATGTATCCAGCTCTGAATTATGCTATCTTCAAATTTTCACTAAAATTGTTTCATAAAACACTCAACAAGCTGACTGTGCTCTCCGATTTCTGTTTGTATTGCAGCTCTGTTGTCTTGTACTATGAGCTTCAATTAGTCTTTTCATTTACAATATGAAGAGGTTAAACTTGGTGGCCTCTCTAAACTCTGCAAGTCTAATCTTTATTGAACATTTATTATGTAGTAGGTCCTCACTTAAACAAATAAAAACCTTAAAACTAGAAATAAACAATGAACTATGCACTATGATGATAAGGGATGAATATCAAGACCAAAGCCTTCAATATGGATTACATCACAACCTTAAGAAAACAAAGATCATCATCACTGGACCAACAGGTAAGATCATGATAGATGGAGAAAAGACTGAAGTTGTTGATGATTTCATATTACTTGGATCCATAATCAATACCATTAGTACCAGCAGTCAAGATATCAAAAGATGTATTGTACTGGGGAGGTCTGCTATTAAGTGCTTTTCCAAAGTTCTGAAGAGCAATGATGCCAGCTTAAAGACTAAGGTATACCTAGTTCAAGCTATGATTTCCTCTCCCCCCAACCACTTGTTATGCATCTTAGAGCTGAACAATAAATAATGATGACAGAAGGTAGTGCAATGCCTTTGAGTTGTGGTGTTGAAAAAGAATGTTGACTGTCCCATGAACTGCCAAAAGAACAAACACATATACTGGAGAAAGTGAAGGTAGAGTGTTCCTTGGAGTAAAGGATGGTAAAGCTTTCTCACACACACTTTGGAAATACTGTTAGGAGAGGCTATTCCTTAAAAAGGCTTATTAATGCTTGAAGAAGTGGAAGGTCAAAGAAAGAGAGTAAGACATTCAGCAAGATGGATTGGCACAGTGGCTGCAGCAATGGGGTCAAGCAATTCAGAGACGATAAGGATAGCACAGGGTTCAGATCTGTTGTTTACAGGGTTGCTATTGAGTCATACTTGACTTGATGGCATTTAACATTAAAAGATATAATGATAATGTTCTTCAGGAGATTTGAGGAGCAGTCTCTTGTAATTAGAATAATCAAGAAAAACTTTGCAATTTAGCTGCTTCTAAAAGGATGAGAAGAATGGGGGGGGAGAAGGACATTTCAGTTATAAGAAAAGTACAAGCCACCCATGTTTATTTCCGCTTTGTTCACAATAGCAAAGAGTTGGAAACAACCCAAGTGTCCATCAACAAACGAATGGATAGAGAAGCTGTGGTATATTTGCACAATGGAATATTATGCAGCACTGAAAAACAAAGAACTCATGAAATATTATACAAAATTGGTGACCATGGAGGACACTATGCTGAATGAAATATTTCAGTCACAAAAAAGACAAATACTGTATAATGCCTGTGTTATAAAACAGGACTAACTGGGGGTTGGGGGAAACTAAGAAAAGAGGGTATAAATAGTGTACACAGCATTGAAATAGACAAGGGAAAGAATTGTATAAAAGGAGTATATGATTAGGTATTATTAGTGTGACAAGAGTCCAGAATAAGAGCTGCATAGTAAATTGGTCTGTGGGAGGGACTGTATAACAATGAAAGATTTTTTTTTCTAAAGAAAAAACGAACTGAGGGGGAGGGAGGGCAGGGAAGAAAATGTGCAACAATGAATGGATGGAAATACAAGTTCTTTATAAACTTACAATAAAATATCAATTAAAATAAAAAATATGTCTAAGAAAAGAAAAGTGCAAGTCATACTGAGGGAAAAGCAAGTGGTGCCACATGGTTGCTAGAGCAGATGAAAAGTGTAAAGGTGTGTACAGAATAAAGAGCTGGAAAAAAAGAACCCACTGTGGTTGATTCTGACTCATAATGGCCATACTGGACAGAGTATATCTGCCTTATAGTGTTTGCAAGGCTGGGAATCTTTATGAAAACAGACTGCTAAATTCTTCTTCAGTTCCAACTTGAACCACTGACCTTATGGTTAATTCTTAGCCAAACAGTTCAACCACTAAGTTACCAGGATTCCTGAGGTTGGTAGAGCAGAATGGAAAAATACTTCCCAGAATTCAAATGTCATATTAAGAAGTGAGAATTTTATATTATAGCAGTGGGAAGTCATGGGGGGGAAAAATCCAGCCAAGTGACCTAGAAAGTTTATTATGATTGCAGTATGTGAAGGATACTATCGGACAGGAAGCGCAGAGGTAACAGAAGCCAGACTTAGAACCATGGAGCAAAAGAAAATGAATGTGGACCTAAAGAAAAAAAGGGTAATTAAGCAAGATTTCAAAAGTAGACCTAAAAGAATAATTTGTTGTTGTCGTTGTGTGCCATTGAGTCAGAACTGACCCATAGCTGACCTTCCAGTGGGTTTTTGGACACAGTACATTGCCCAAGGTGAGACTGTCCACCTTTCTCTTGTGGAGAAGCTGGTAAATTCAAACTGCGTGCCTTTACGCTAGCAGTGCAACTCTTTACCACTAAGCCACCAGTTGTTGTTGTTATGTGCCGTCGAGTCGCTTGTGACTCATTGTGACCCTATGTACAACAGCTCTAAACTCTGCTATGTCCTGTGCCAATCTCACTGTCTCCGATGCACTCATCCCATTTGCCCCAGTCACCGAATCAATCAATATCCCAGAGGGCCTTCCCCTCCTACGCGTGCCCTCCACCCTCCCAAGCATGATGTCTTTCTCCAAGGACTGGTCTCTCCTTACAACATGACCAAAGTATGTCAGGCGAAGCCTCAGAATCATTGCCTGCAAGGAGTAGCCCAGTTTAACCCTCTCCAGGATGAATCTATTTGTTTTCTTAGCAGTCTATGGCACCCTCAGCACTCTTCTCCAACACCAAAGCTCAAAAGCATCAATTTTCCTTCTGTCCTCACTGGTCATTGTCCAGCTATCTGATGCATAACAAGTGATTGCAAAG